CTTCCCCCTGTTTTCCTGCCTGAAGGGTTGCAGCTCCGCCATCCTGCTCTGTTTTTCGAACATTCGTTTGTTTAAGAACTCTTTATCCCTTCAGTCCACAATGGGAGGAATCGTTATTTTCAGACAGAAGTAGTTGGAAGAACTCACAGTTTTAAGCAAAAATGGAGAATCTTGTGGGGCCATGAACCATATTAACTCGTCTTTCTAAGGTGACAGGAGAAAAAACATCGGAAGAAGCCAAAGAAATAATTTTTCTCGATTATTACCTTTTTGAGGATGAAGTGCTTTTGCCCTCACTTTCTCGCGTTGTAGTGACTTTTCTTCAACTTGAACGTTAAACTTCTGCCTTTACAAAGTAGCGAGATAAAACTGCTTCGCAATCGATAAGGAAAATCACTAGCCTTTCCTATATGGTTGCGAGTACCCACAGGCTCAGGATAGTGATAAAGTAACCGAGTCAAACTTTCTAAACCACTACGAGCGTCCATGGGGAGTTTCGAAGCGTTAGCCAGCGGGAAGAAATGCATCATCAAGAATGAGCTGTTCCGCGCATACTAAGATGGTTGAAATATCGAGTACCCGTGGACTTCCTAGAAGACCATTTTTTGAGGGCCGTTGTTAGAAATGGTCGCCCAACTAAGTGTTGAGCGGTTATACTGCTCGTTTCTGCCTTGTTTGTACCGATAACTTGTCCTTTATAGGGGTCGAACTTCGATAGGTATCTAGAAGCTGTCAACGGGGAGGGGAGAAAAGGGGTTGAGAAAAAGTTGAGGGCGATCTCGTGACTTGTCCAAGTTTTCCCTTTCTCTTATCGTCTTTATTCAATGATTTTTTTCATTTACTCGGTTCATATAAATAATCCAGACTAGGAAGTTTTGCTCAGCAACGGTCCTCGCCGTTCATCAGCTTTCATTAATACAAATTTATGATTTCAAATGTTTCATTTTCTCCTGCGAGAGCATTAGTGGCCTCGAACAAGCGAGCCTTTCTTTGCCCTTCTAATCCAATTTCAATATCTTTTCACGAAAGGCGTCGAAAATGCAGTTATTAATGAATTTTTCATGGGGTATCGGTCTCGTTCATCATATTTCATGCACAAGAGCAGGTAGAGTAGTTTTGATGCGAGGGTGGGAGAAAAGGGTAGCCCATGAAGGGATTTCCAGGTTTGCATCACACCGTCTGTTGCTTTCAAAACGATTAGATGAGAGAAAGAAGAAAGATTTTACATTTTTAGGCCATTTTAGAGGATTTCGAGGCGTACTGCAATCAAGAGATTCTAGAAAATCAGGAATAATGCTCGGTTTCAAGAACAAAAAAAAAACTAGAAATGGGTCAGACTCACCAACGTAACTTTATTGGGAAAATGCGCTAGGAGAAAGGCTTAGTGGCAAGAACACTCACCTTTTGGGTGGGTGAAGTCGCGCTCAGGCAGATGGGATATTTCATCTGTACGGGTGCGCTTGCTAAATTCAGACCTCTACATCAGGAGCTTGACACCCGCGCCGTTTTTTCAAAATTTTCCATAGGCTAAAGACGAGAAGCTAGAAGAGAAGCTTCAACGGCTTCGAAAAAAAGTCGATTCGCATACCACAAAATTATATTTACGTTTATTGA